TAAGCATGTGTTGTCAGATGCGATTAAGCGGTATGTTTACTAAAGATACCCCTCTGAAGTTTCCGAAAATCTTAAGGTTTTTTTTTTATATATACATATAGAAATGTTACGTCGTTCAGCAGAGCATACAATGATTATCATGGTACAAACCATGTTTGAGAGGTACTACTTTTTATCGGGTTTATTGAGTTATAATTTAATGGTATAATCAATATTATAATTCTTCCTATATTCAGACTTAAATCTTTAGAAGAAGAACCGATAGCATTGGTTTCACAAGAGGAAGGGGAGGGTGAAAAGAATTCTGCTCAAGAATCCCAGGTGCGGATGGCACCTCCAGATCCAAAATCCCCCAGCCTTCCTTTGAATTCGGAATATGATGATATACCTTCCAGCCTTTTGTCTAGTGCTTCTACGTTCGCTTTATCCAAAAACGACACCTTAAATGAGTCATCTATATACGATACAACAGAGGAACCTATAGAGCTAGATGAAAATGGAGAAGAAGTTCGTAATGAGGTTAAATCTAAACAAGAAAGAGACGCCGGTATAAAGATTTGGTTTCCGAATATGTGTAAACATTTTTGTTCAGAATAAATGCAAATTTGTATTTCTAACATAATTTAATGGCAAATTTTTGGTATTATTATTTTAATTGTAAAAAGGATCGAGCCCTACAGTTAATGCATCAAATGAGGATGAAAAAGATTCTGGTATTGTAAAATATGGATTATCTCATTATTTTTACATATAAGTGTATTGCTAAAAATAGGCTAAAATTTTTATTTATTTATTTTACATTCACCATAAAGAACCAAGGCCTTTCGGATTACCGTCGATAAAGGAGTTATTTCGTGTTCTCGTGTCTTTGCTTAACCCCCATGACGTTCAACATACAGACACTATGAGATTAATGGCCCTCAGCATATTAAATGCTGCATTTGAGGTTGGCGGTAAAACTATTGGGAAATTTGAGTCTCTGCGCAATCTTGCAATTGACGAATTATGCAAATATTTATTTCAAGTGAGCTCTCGAATCCTCAAATTCTATTAATTTGTTGAATTAAATTCAGATATGAAAATAATTTTTATGGGTTTAACTTTAATTATGGAGCTTGCCCGCACAGACAACATGGTTCTTTTATCACTTTCTCTTCGTGTCATATCAACGGTGTTCGGGACTCTTCGCCCGTATCTAAAATTACAGCAAGAGCTTTATTTATCATTTCTCATCGAAAGACTTACACCACCAACGAACAGTTTGAGGACTATTGCGTTTAACGCAGAATTTTCAAGTATAAATAGTAGTATCGATTCTCCTCTTGCATCTGGGTCATCAACGCCCAGCACAGGTCGTGATCGTAATTTACGCTTAAGTGGAGAGACTTCTGTTGCGACTGGCGAAGTTCGAGAGTTATTACTCGAATCACTTGGCCAGTTTGCTAGGGATCCCTCTTTTATGGTAGATTTGTGGGTCAATTATGATTGTAATATTGATTGCGGAGATTTATTTGAAGAAGTTGTAAAATTTTTGAGCAAGGTTTGATTTCTTTTTTTTTTCTTTTTTGATTTACAGAGAAAGTTTCAAAGTTAATTCTGACCTATTATGTTTTTTGTAGAATTCCTTTCCTGAAAATACCGGATATTCGGTTAGCAACTCGTATGTTATTTGCTTAGATTCTCTGTTACTGTATGTAAATCACATGGTAGAAAGGTTAAAATCAGAGGTATTTCTAGAAATTAACATATAATTGAAGAATGTCATTATAATTATTGGTGATTTATTGTAATTTCAACATCTTTATTAGAAGGATAAAGATCGTCCATCAAACTGTAATTTATCTTGGGATCAAATGTCAGCGACAGATTATAATGCCGGTTTAAGACCTGCGGTAAGTATATCTATGTAAAGTAAATCGATATCAGGAATTTTTATATCTTTCAATAATGATATTTTGTAAATCTTAAATTCTGGATTTAGGTTTATCCATATGCCGCGCAGCTTTTACAATTAAAGCAACAAAAAAATATATTAAGAGAGGGAGCTTCAAAATTTAATGAAAACCCTAAACAAGGGCTTGAATTCCTTCAAGGTAAGTTCCTTGTGAATTTTATTTTTATATATAAAATGTTAATTTTCTCTCTACTCTAAATTTGTAATTTTAATAGCGAACGGTATAATATACAATGATCCTTCCATTGACAAAAATACGAGTCTCGCTAAATTTTTGAAATCTACATCGCGTATTAATAAAAAGCTCTTGGGCGATTTTCTATCCAAACCATCGAATATTGAGATTTTAAGGGCTTTTGTTAAACTTTTTGACTTTGAAGGAGTAGGTGCTAGCTGAATAAATGATAATTTGTAGATATTGATATTTAAGCTCATTTCCTTGGAACTTTTGTAGAAACGAATTGACGAAGCCTTGAGAGAGTTACTTGAGTCTTTTCGTTTGCCCGGCGAAGCTCAGCAGATTGAAAGGATCGTGGAGACTTTTGCTGTCACATATTTTGCATCCGGGCCAGGTGAGTAATTGTGATTTCAATGAGTTCGAAAGGATTGTTACCCTAATTCTGCGTCAAATGTTGAAGCCGAAATCGAAACGCAAGACGCAACTTTTGTTTTATCTTATTCGGTTATAATGTTAAACACGGATTTACACAATCCGCAAGTTCGGGTATGCAGCAATTATCTGGAATTGTAAATTTTTTTTTATTTGTTTGAGTTAATTTTATTATGCGTTTATAACTTAGCGTCGCATGACAATTGAAGATTATATGAAAAATCTTCGTAATGTCAACAACGGACATAATTTTTCACCCGAATATCTTGTATGTACTTTCTGTGCGTTTTTTAATATCGCAACTTTCACCGAGTAAAATTTGCGTTATTTTCGTTAGAATGCAATATATGATGCTATACGTAAAAGAGAAATAGTTATGCCCGAAGAACATGAAGGTCAACTAGGATTCAATTATGCATGGAAGGAACTGTTGCGAAGAGCGGATCACGCTGGTAAGTTTTTTTAATTATAACTACATTTTGAGATGGTGTTTCTGAACTTTTTTTAAAAATAATTAAACTTTATTAGGGCCGTCTATAATATGTGATGTGTCACTATATGATAAAGACATGTTCGCTACTGCTTGGAAGCCTACGGTTGCGGCAATTTCATATGGTATATTGTGACAAGCTTTGGCACAGGACTTGTTCTCTTGTAAAGAAGATACTAATATGATCGTGGTTAATCTAGCGTTTAGCACTGCACAAGACGACACAACTCTGCAAAAGGCCATTACAGGATTTCGGCATTGTGCATTATTATCTGCCGAGTATAAGTTATACGACGTATTCGATTATATCATTATGTCACTGTCTAAGATGACAGGATTGCTTGGCACGAGGTATTCCAACGAAACTGCAAATAATCCAGTTGTCGTGATTCAAAAT